GTTTGATATTTATTTAACCTTATTAATCAACTTATAATCGTTATTAAAATGACACTACAATTTATCACTTTTAACTATTTACAAAATATTCTTTGGGTTGTTTAAGTCAAACTAAAATTTATATTTAAGTTGATCCTGTAACGTTATATTTATATTTATATTTTAAGTATTTTATACAAATTGTTCAAAAAATGTAGCTTTAAAATGATAATGGTTACATCCAACAATATATTAAAACTAATAAATTAAGTATAATATGTTAAAAGTTAAAAAACATAACTTTATAAGTAGAAGTAAAAATATTTTTTTAATATTGAAATTTAGTTTATATATGATTACACTATAGGTTTGATATTTATTTAATCTTATTAACCAACTTATAATTACTATTAGAAAGAATTTGAAAAGTCATGGGAGTTTCAAATGAATGTGGAGAAAAGAAAATTGCATGAGAGTTTCAAATGAATGTGGTGAAAGAAAAATGTTTCCTTTATAAGTATACTAGGCGAATGTTCGCGCGTTGCGCAGAAGTACCTATATAGTTGAAGTCTTTACAAATATATGTTTTTTAAAATATAACAATAATGTTGTTGTTAAATTTGATATAATAATTCATATACTAAATTGATATAATATATTGATTATTTTGAATTATATGATAATATATACATTTATTATAACTGCATTATCTCAATCGTTTGAATAACTTCTACACGCGAGTTACACATGAATAATATTAAATATAATATATGGTTTAATGTTATTTATAATTATTGTTATTGTTAATAAAAATTTTAAAATTTATTTGCTTAATGTTTTAATTTCTATCATTATAATTATTTAAAACATGAAACATTGTTTTTTGATTTTAAAGGTAACAATATAATCATTTATATATAATTATTTTGAACTATTGTTATTGTAAGTTATTTTAAGCTACTTATTTGAAAACTTTTAATGATTATCAAAATATCTTTAGGAAATATTTTAGTTAAATTGAGATTACAATTTAGTTTTTGCATTTATTACTACAATTTATCACCTTTAACTATTTACAAAATATTCTTTGGTTTTTTTAAGTGGAACTGAAAGTTATATTTAAGTTGACATTGTAATGTTATATTTAAATTAACAATTTAAGTATTTTGTCTAAACTGTTCAAACGTTGTAGCTTTAAACTCATAATGGTTTACATACAACACCATTTTAAATCTAATAAATTGAATATAATATGTTAAAAGTTAAAGACATAACTTTATAAGTAGAAGTAAATATATTATTTTAAAATTGAAATTTAGTTTATTTATGATTATACTTTAGGTTTGATATTTATTTAACCTTATTAACCAACTTATAATCATTATTAGAAAGACACAACAATTTTTCACTTTTAACTGTTTACAATATTTTTTTGGTTGTCTAAGGTAAACTAAAATTTATATTTAAGTTGACCCTGTAATGTTATATTTAAATTAATAAGTTAACTATTTTATAAAAATTGTTCCAAAATTGTATATTTAAAATGATAATCGTTTACATCAAACAATAGATAAAAACTAATAAATTACGTATAATATGTTAAAAGTTAAAAACATAACTTTATAAGTAGAAGTAAATATCTTATTTTAATATTGAAATTTAGTTTATATATGATTACACTTTAGCTTTGATATTTATTTAACCTTATTAACCAACCTATAATTATTATTAGAAAGAAATTGAAAAGTCATGGGAGTTTAAAATGAATGTGGTGAAAGGAAAAATGCATGGGAGTTTAAAATGCATGAGGTTCAAGGAAAAAATGCTAGCTTTATAAGATACTAGGCGAATGTCCGCGCGTTGCGCAAAAACACCTATATAGTTGAAGTCTTTACAAATGTATGTTTTTTTAAAATATAACAATAATGTTGTTGTTAAATATAATATATAATTCGTATACTAAATTGATATAATATATTGATTATTTTGAATTATATGATAATATATACATCTATTATAACTGCATTATCTCAATCGTTTGAATAACTGCTACCCACGAGTTACACATGAATAAAATTAAATATAATATATGGTTTGATGTTATTTATAGTTATTGTTATTATTAATAAAGTTTTTAAAATTTATTTGCTTAATGTTTTAATTTCTATCATTATATTTATTTAAAACATCAAACATTGTTTTTTGATTTTAAAGGTAACAATATAATCATTTATATATAGTTATATTTAACTATTATTTTTGTAAGTTATTTTAAGCTACTTATTTGAAAATTTTTAATGATTATAAAAATATCTTTAAGAAATATTTTAGTTAAATTGATATTACAATTTAGTTTTTTTGCATTTATCACTATAACTTATCACTTTTAACTATTCACAAAATATTTTTTGATTTTTTTTAAGTGGAATTGAAATTTATATTTAAGTTGACACTGTAATGTTATATTTAAATTAACAATTTAAGTATTTTGTCTAAACTGTTCCAAAGTTGTAGGTTTAAACTGATAATGGTTTACATACAACAACATTTTAAATCTAATAAATTTAATATAATATGTTAAAAGTTAAAGACATAACTTTATAAGTAGAAGCAAATATATTATTTTAAAATTGAAATTTGGTTTATTTATGATTATACTTTAGGTTTGATATTTATTTAACATTATTAATCAACTTATAATCATTATTAGAAAGACACTACAATTTATCACTTTTAACTATTACAAAATATTTTTTGGGCTGTTTAAGGTAAACTAAAATTACATTTAAGTTGACCATGTAATGTTATATTTAAATTAATAGTTTAACTATTTTATACAAATTGTTCCAAAATTGTATCTTTAAAATGATAATCGTTTACATCCAACAATATATTAAACTAATAAATTAAGTATAATATGTTAAAAGTTAAAAACATAACTTTATAAGAAGTAAATATATTATTTTAATATTGCAATTTAGTTTACATATGATTACACTTTATGTTTGATATTTTATTGAACCTTATTAACCAACTTATAATTATTATTAGAAAGAAATTGAAAAGTCATGGGAGTTTCAAATGAATGT